TCGGTAGCCACTCTGCCAGCCGCTCCTGTTGCCCGTGTGTCTGCAGCTTCAGCCGTTGCCTCCCATCTCCTCTCCTCTCACAGTCCAGCCTCCTCCTCCTCACGTGCCCGTTGTGAATGCCTCTAGCTGTGCTTGCCCTTGTGAACCTGCTCTATGACTGCTTGCTCTGCTGATTATACCCCACTTTGACTATGGGGGTGTGTCAGAATGTGTAGTTTGTCTAGCCTGCAGTGGGGTACTCTGTAGTGAGTATGACCCCTTAGGGTTTCCTATATGTATCCACCTGCTTGCTAGTGAACCTCCTCCTTTCTTCATTCTTGTTTCTGACTGCTAGTTCTGACATTATTCTCACAATTTGGGGTCATGGGTACTGTGGGGTCTTGTCCGTAGTTCAGGTAAAACGGTGACTGTTGGGTCGTGGCGGATGGCGAGTTGTTGTGTGCGAATTCGATGAGTGGCAGTTGCTGTTCCCAGGTGGTCGGGTCGTCGCACGTGGCTCCATGGTCTGGTTTGTCCTTTCTGTCTGTCCGTCGGTCTCGGGGTGGTACGAAGAACTAAGCTGCAGTCGCGTGTCGAACTGCTGCCACAAGTTCCGCCAGAAGTTGCTGGTGAATTTCGTGTCGCGGTCGATGATGATCGCTGCTGGTATCTTGTGTAGTCGAACGACGGTGGAGATGAAGAGGCGGGCTGTTTCTTCGGCTATGATCGATTTCTTGCAGGCTGCGAAATGCGCCATTTTCGTCAGCCGATCGACGACGAACAGGATCGCGTCGTTCCTGGTTGCCCCGGCCGGTAACCCCGTGACGAAGTCCATCGTCACCTGCTGCCAAGCGCGCTCTGGGGGTGGGATCGGCTACAATTGTCCTGCCGGTCGCTTTTGTGATGACTTCATGAGCTGGCAGGTGGGACACGATGCCACGTGTCGCTGCACGTCGGTCAGCATTTCGGGCCAGTAATAATACCGCTGCAGCTGCTGCTGTGTTTTTTCTACTCCGAAATGGCCTGAGGTAACTCTGTTGTCTGCCTCCAGTAACAGTAATTCCCATAGTAGTGTCTTACCCGGTACCCAGATGCGGTCGGTGCCAGTTTTTACGGAATAAACTTCCCTTGTTACTGCGAACTGCTGCGAATTTCCTCCTGTGAAGAATGGGTCAGTTTGATAACCGTGGGTAAATAGTCCTGTCAGTAGCGGGCTGGTTTGGGCGAGTAGTACGGCGTGGATCTGGGCAGTGGGGCGGGTCAGTGCGTCGGCGATGTTTGATGCCCCCTTTTTGTAGGTAACCATGTAGTGGAAGTTTGACTCGAGGAAATCGAGCCAGCGAATATGTCGTGTGTTGGGGTGGGGCTGTGCGCGGAGGTACTGTAGCGATTTATGGTCTGTCCGTACTGTCACGTCTGTGTCGGTCAAGTAACAGCGCCACACTTTGAACGCATGCACGATCGCGAGCGTTTCGCGGTCGTGTATCGGGTAGATTTTTTCGGGCGGATGCAGTTTTCGTGACTCGTATGCGATGGGCTGTAAACCGTTGCCGAAATCCTGTAGCAGTAGGGCTCCGATGGCGATGTCGCTCGCGTCGGTAACCACTTCGAATGGGCGGTGTGAGTCGGCGATGCGCAGTACGGGCGGTGAACAGAGAACAGTTTTCAGGGCAGAGAAGGCAGCATGCTCTTTCTCCCCTCACGTAAAAGAGACCCCCTTTCGTAGCAAGTCTGTGAGCGGCGCCGTTAACCGTGCCATATCGAGGACGAACCGACGCACGTAATTTACGAACCCCAGAAAACTCTGCAGCTCCGTGATATTCGTCGGGGGGTGCCAGGCTTTCACCATGTCCAGCTTCTTCGGGTCAATTTCAACCCCAGCCTCCGAAATAACGTGCCCCAAAAACTCTAGCCTGTCCTGAAAAAACCCGCATTTGAATCCTTTCGCCAGTAGTCGGTGCTCGTCTAAAATTTTAAAGACTGCTTCCAGATCTGGTAAGTGCTGCTGCTTTCGCGACTGTAGACGAGGATGTCGTCGATGTAAACTATCACGCATTTATCTAAATGTGGCCTAAACGCATCGTTCATGGTCATCTAAAATGTCGCCGGTGCGTTGGTCAGCCCGAATGGCATCACGGTGTACTTGAAAGACCCGTACCTAGTCCTAGAAACCGTCTTGGCGCAGTCCGATGGTTCGACTCGAATCTGATGGTAACCTCCCCGTAAATCGATTTTCGAAAAGACCCGTGCTGTTCGCAGTTGTTCTATCAGTTCGTCGGCGCGGGGGATTGGGTATCGCGACTTGACTGTTACCTTGTTCATGGCCCTGTAATCGATGCACATGCGAAACGCTCCGTCTTTTTTCGGCGTGAACAGTATCGGTGCGGCGAATGGTGACGACCTCGGTCGGATGATTTTTTTCTCTAACAGGTAATCTAACTGTTTCCTCAGTTCGTCGAGCTCGAGTTGTGTCAGTCTGAACTGTTGCTGTACGGTTGGCTGTGCCCCCGGTTCTAACTCTATTCGGTGATCGTGTGCTCGCTGAGGTGGCAGTCCCTCCGGTAGGTCATCCCCGGGTACCGTTTCAACAGTTCCTGTATTTCAGGCGGTACTGCTGCCAGAAGTTTCTGAAAATCACTTGGCTGCTCTGCTTCTCCTACCACTACGATTCCACCGTGTACACGTCAGCTCCAGCAGCGACAGCCCGTTTCATTGTGATGGCGTTGACGTGGACCGTTGAAGACTCAGGTGACTGCCAGCGAGGTAGCTCAACCCAGTTACCACTACTTCGCACGGTGTAGCTACCCGTCGTCCAGTCAATTCGCGGGTTATAGCGTCACAGCCAAACACGTCCCAGTAAAATGTCGTGCCCATCTAGTGTCGTTGCGATCATTTCCTGTGTAAATCCGAAGTTCCCCCCGAAGCGGACTTTTACTCTCTCCACCATCTCCCGTATGGCCAGTGGTGTGCCGTCAACTAAGCGTGCGTCTATCTCCGGTAAACACCGACTAAGGGCCAATTGCAGTTTCCGTGCAGTCGGGGTATTAACTAAACTGTGACTTGCTCCCCCATCGATGAAAATCTTCACTATTGCTCCCTGTATTTTCCCGTGAATCAGTACTGGGCAATCTGTCGCTATACCCTCCTTATTCGTCCGACCCCGATCGATAGTGTGAATCGGTACTGTGACTGTTGAGGGTCGGTGCGGTTGGGCGAGCAGGCAGTCTCGTCAGTAGTTGGCCCAACTTCTGCTGACTGCTGGCGTTTCCCTCCGTCCGAGACTCCCTCCCCTGCTCTGCCCCGCAACGCCTCAGCTCCTCTGGGCATTCGCTCTTGCGATGGCCCGACCGATTGCAAGCAACGCAGCGCCCCTTAAACGGCGCGACAGCTGCATTCGTCGCAACGGCGTGTACGGTGGCGTGCTCGATCGGTCCCCGAGGACGATGTCCATAGTAGGACCCCGGTCCTGGACGGCGCAAAATGTTGATTTTTCGGCGAGCGCGAGGATCTCGTTAAAAATCGAGAGCCCTCGTAGCATGATCTCGTGGGAGATGTCCGACTTCAGCCCTACGACGTAACGGTCCACCCGCTCCGCTTCGTGCATGTAGCCGACTTGCTCGCATAATGCGAGAAAACCGCTCGTATAGTCTTGAACCGACCCGAGCTGCCGCCAAGTACGCAGTCTCTGACGCGCCGAAACACAAGCCGCGACCGGCTCGAAGCCCGCCCGAAACCCTGCGCACCACGCATCCCACGTGCTGTACTGGGCGGTTTCGCAAAATGAACTCCAGGTGACGGTTGGACCCGTGGGCCCTTCCTCTTGCGACGGTGGCTCGTAGGCGTGTGGCGACGTCACGATGACTCGCCACCAGTCCATGGCGGGGCCCCTCAGCAGCGAGACGGCATATCGGATCTTCGCTGCGTCCGACTCGACGTAGCTCGCGTCGAAAAAGACATTCATCGTGAAGACCCACGATTGAACCGTCGGACCTCCACGCTGGCTCGGGTCGAAACAGGGCGGGCGCTGCGGCTTGAGTGACATTGGTGCCATGATGGCGTGGTCGCCACTTGTCGCTTCAAATTCCACATGCCGACGGGCTTCGCAAGGTTCCCGTGGGCTTGGCGCGACCCTGTTTCTCTCCATGCCCGGCATCGATTGAGCGGCGCCATCATTGGCTGTGCCTGAGCGCGGTCCCACGCTGTCGTGTTGTGACGGTGTGCTGGACGAGATGACGATGGGCTCGTCCGTTTGTGCAGGTGCATTAGCGGGTGTCTGTGTTGATGCAGGTGCGTTCGTCGCAGATTGCCGGCGGGCGGCGTCGAGTTCCGTCGTGAGCGTCGCGACTTCGAGTGCCGTATTTCCAAGTTGGCTCACGAGACGGTCGAGTTGCTCCTGTGTCAGCGTCGCGAGAGTAAATTCAGCGAGAGCCTCGGTCGTGGCCGTGCGTGCTTACGATAGAGCACTTCGAGCAGCGGTGCTTGTTTCGCTGAGATGGGAAGCGAATGTGTGGGTGCAATCCGAGAAGAGATCGTAGGCTCTGAATACCAAGTGTTACGTGTGCAATTGAGTGAGCGAGCGAAAATTGCACTATCGAAGCAAGAGTACAATGAGCGAAGGCATGAGCGAAGAATATATAGCAAAACTATTGTGGTAACGGTAATGTGTGAAAATGGGGTGTGCGACAAGCCTAGCTCCGAGGTCGGGAATTGTCGAGGCGGAGGTCTGGGGCGCGGGTTACCAACCGAACCGTTAGGTTGGGTCGCATCGTGAACAGTGGCGGGTGCAGTGTCGAAGCGAGTGTCGCGAGTGGTAACGGTTTACTTTTGGGTGCTGTTGGCGGGAACAGTGGTGTACGCGCTGAGCATGGACGCGAAGTAAGGAAAAGGAATTTTACACATGACTTGCACCCCCTTCCCCTTTTTACTGACCCATTTCCGCTTTGCATCACCCTTGAGACACCTCACTGTAGCCTTACAAACTAGCATTCATATACAAGTTGACACTTCATAGTACTGTCACTTCAGTTGTCGTGAATCAACCCATTCAAGCGCGCAATCTCTGCATCCAAGTCCGGATCTGCCATCCTCTCCTCCTCCACCTGCTGGTCCACCTGACGGGCGGCAGAGTTGGGACGTTCGCCGCCCAGCGCCACCAGCACGGTCTCCAGCTCGGCTGCAATCACCCCCATGGCCGGCCGCATGGCGCTGTGCTTGGCGGTGCAACGCAGTGCCAGATCCACCACCCTCAACACCAAATCATCCCACGCCTCCATGCGCGCGTCCTTGAGGCCTGCCACCACTGCCCTATTGCCCGATTGACCCAGCTGCTGCTGGACCTGAAACAGAGCAGACAAGTTCCAGGTTGAGACACGCAAGTTGGTGGGCTGAGACACGCAGGTTGATGGGTTGAGACACGCAAGTTGGTGGGTTGAGACACGGAAGTTGGTGGGTTGAGACACGCAATTTGGTGGGTTGAGACACGCAAGTCGGTGGAAAACAGAGGGCTACAGGTGGATGCGCGAGAAGGCATGAAGAGCGGAAGCACACACGGCTATGGTGGCACTCTCTCCATCTCCCCACGCACGTACCCAGCGAAGAATGTGCAGCTGCTGTCCCGCCTCCTCATCGGAGTGAGTTTCGAAAGAATTGGTGATGACGTGGCGGCCCGTAATGAGCTCAAGCATGAGAATGCCAAAGCTTCACACCACGACACCCCGTGGACAGGTGAGGAGACGAGAGGAGAGGCGAGGAAAGCATGGGACACGCCAGGAACATGATAATACCAACATAGGGGCATCAGAGGGTTGTTGCTCACCTGTAGACATCAGTGGCGGTGGTGGCCTTATTGGATGCGGCATAGGAGGGGTCCACATAGCCCGGTGTTCCCACCACTCGCGTACTCTGCAATGCTGTGCCCTCTCCCTTCCTCACAAGCCCAAAGTCTGAAATCCTTGCCTGCTCTCATGCATCAAATGTAAAGGATATGGGCAGAGATTTATGAATTGTGAGATATACAGGTATTTGACATTCCAGCTGGCACACACACATGGCAAGCAATTACTGACACGAAAAGGATGTAGGGGAAGTGATGACAATGTGGGAAGGAATGCGTGGACTGAAAATAATAAAAAAGAAGTACGTTCTTTCTGGTTGATTTATGCATTGTAAATAAAGAAGCTTACCAATGTCTTAGGGCGAAACAATAAGTGCGAACTGCACACTCAAACAACTTTGGTGTTTTATAACTTCTACATGTTGAACATTGCTTGGTTCTTCTGTCAGTGACATTGGTGCTAAGTAATATGCATGCTATGGTGCTTTGGTGCTATGTAATATGCATGCTATGGTGATTTGGTTCAAAATAATATGCATGTTATGGTGATGTGGTTCTAACTAACATGGATGCTATGGTGCTTACCAGAGACTCGGTGCCAAAAGTAATCTAATACTTACTGTAGGGCACGTTCGAAACACCGGGTTTGGTCCTTACCACTCACTCATTTCAAGAATCTAGGTGGACATGAACCCAGTGTGACATGTTATAACTCTGTGCTAACTCACTACTCAGTGCTGAGCATTACGCTCAATACTTAAGGAGCCAAACATAGGGTTTGATACTTCCCCTGGATTCAGTGGTCAATACTGAACGCATTGACCTTAGGTTTTGTCAAAGGCTCGGTGACAAAATTCCATGCTACCCAGACATTCATAAACTCTGTGTTCATTCCCATGTGCAGTGCAAATATGCAATGGCGCAGGTGTGCTTGGCTGTTCATAGAAAACATGCCGCAGATGGGAGAAAGTAGCTTCTATCTATATGCAGCATGGCTTGCCTGCATGGTGTGGTCGAGCAGGATGTTGGCGGGCTCGTGTATGCAAGGCTATTCACAGAAGAGCATGTGGCACAAGTCTGGCTGCTTGCCTGCCTCACTTGCCTGCATGGTGTGGTCGAGCAGGATGTTGGCGGGCTTGATGTCGCGGTGCACGATGCCGAAGCTGTGGAGATACTCAAAGCCGCGTGCCGCCCCCACCAGCACTCCCACCCGCTGCTCAAAGCTCAGCGGGGTCGCTGCCTCTGGAGGGCCCAGCGCATAGGAATGACGGGCAGGGGGGATGCGAACAGATGGGTGGAGAGAAGAGACCTTCAGAAGCAGGAGAGGAGGCCTGTATGAAGAGCCATACCTGCAATGTCGGATAGGTGCTGACCCCTGAACTTGAGACCAGCACTAATTCTTCTAGCACCTATCGCCCCGAAGCAACGCATGCGCGCACGAGTTGAAATGCTCACCTTTCCCGATCCATCGCGAGAGGTCCCCGTTGGGCATGAGCTCGTAGATGAGGATTTGCTCGACCCTTGTCTTGTCGGTGATGCCGATTGCGAAGCCCAGCAGCCGCACGAGGTTGGGGTGGTGCTTCGTTGCCATCTCACACACCTGCCGGGGGGTACAAGGGGCAGTACAACACACTGTAAGACACTGCTTCGTTGATTGATGGTAGTCTTGGTTGATTGATATGACATTACATGACATGACATGACATGACATGACATTACATGACATGACATGACACCACATCACGCGCACGCACCTCGGTGTCAAAGTCGTTGGTGATGATCTTAGCTCGCTTCACAGCCCACGGCGTGGCACCATCAGTGGGAGAGACGCCGCGATACACATCACCAAAGCCTCCCATGCCAAGCAGGTTGGCCTCGGACCACCCGTTCGTTGCCTTCACCACCGCCGCCAGTGAATACTCCTGACACACCTGCGCTGCCGCCTTGCTGCTCACCAGCGCTGTGGGGAGGAGCAGAGCAGAGCAAACGCGGTAGAGCGGGGCGGGGAGGCAACGAATGCGATGCAGAGTAAACGGCAGATTTTTTTCATCCACACCCATTCCTTCCAAGGTGAAAAGTGTTGCCGCCTTGCTCTCCTGTATCCAAGTGGAAAACGTGCGTGCTGCTTGCTGGAGCGGCTGGGAGGCACGCCACACATGTGTGCTCGCTGGAATGGTCGAGAGAAAGATCCGGTGTGTATGACGACACAGAGACGTGTGAAGGCAACCTCATGTTGCTCTGCTCTCACGACACATCGAGACACGCCAGGGGAGGGGAGCAAGGGCGGTGTGAGACGGGACGGGACGGGACGGGACGCACGTTTGTCGACGCAGTAGCAGCAGTAGAGCAGTGCAGCAAGCGCTGCAGTGATGACAGCAGCCGCCGCAGCTACAATTGCCGTGATAACGCCTGGGGGAAGCGACTTGCGCTTGTCACCTGCAAACAGAAGAGAGCACCCGAACATCTTGTTCATCGACACGTAGTTGACAAGGGATTGACAAGTGATTGACGAGTGATTGAATCAAAAGAGCAACTCGATGCTTAAAGGGAAACAGATTAGCGCCTCCTCCACCTGTCTTCCTCTCACGAGAAGAGCTCACATGTGGAGCAGAAGTCAGGGCAGGTGCGGCAGAAGCCAGAGGTTGTATTCTGAGGCACACCGCAGCTGCTGTAGCTGTCAGGGCACTTGAGACCGCTGGTGTTGGTGTCTCTGAGTATGCCAAGCCAAGGAGGGAGCGAAGGAAGGGAGGGGGTGACAAACATAGAGAGTGCTGCTTTGAGCCTCATCCTCATTCCTCCCCTCTCCTCTACCCGCATTCCTCCCCTCTCCTCTACCCACATTCCTCTACCCGCATTCTTCTACCCACATTCCTCTGCTCCGCTCGCTCCCCCTAACAGAACCTTGCACCTGAAGGGGTGGGACAACTCTTCCCCTCCCTCCTTACAGGCTCGAGTCGAATGATCGATGATGCCACCCTCTTTCGCGCCCTTCCAGCTTTACTGGAAGAGCAAGTGGTGTGATCCATTGGACCGCTTTGTGCGTAGCAGCCACCCTTGGCTGTCCTCTTCAGAGAAAGTACCCGTTGTGTGCGTGCCCGTTGTGTGCGTGCCCGTTGTGTGCGTACTGTTAGGTATCAGCTACACGACTATTGAATACTACACTTGTTATCTCTTATTACTTACAGGGTTGAGAGATTGCGTAACTTTCCAAGGGCTGGGGGGATGGTTCCTTCCATATAATTGGATGCAACGCTTCTGCACACATGCAAAGGCAAGGCAGCGGATCACAACAAGCGAAGAAAGCAGTTGTGGAGAAGGAAAATACTTGGAAAGACTGGTTTGATTGAAGCAGCTTGTTATGGCTAATAGTATGACAAGGTTTCCAGCGTGCATGAGCACCAGAGACACCACGTGTGGTGGAGGGGCTATCAATAAGGAATCACCACCTGCCATGGCACAAGCGGTTGGATATGTATCTAGTGGATGGAAACGATGCAGCAACATCAAGTCACGATATGATTGCACCGCGCATGTGAATGCATGCAGTATGGAATCAAAATACATGTCCGGAGGGAAGGAAACATTGGATGGAGATGCAAGTGCTGTGAGGAAACTCACAGGGTGACCAGGTTAGACATAGTTGTGAGAGATTCAGGCAGACTGCCTCTCAGCCCGTTGTTGGAAAGGTTCCTGATGGCACATGCATGGCATGCGAGGGGGGCATGGCATGAGAGGGGGGCATGGCATGAGAGGGGGGCATGGCATGAGAGGGGGGCATGGCATGAGAGGGGGGCATGGCATGAGAGGGGGGCATGGCATGAGAGGGCAGGTGCACTGGCAGGCGAGCTTGAGCAGCACAGAAAAGGCTGACAGAAAGTATGAATGAATGAATTGCACCTACATGATGCACTGCAAGGGGGACACTGTCTCAGAAGATAAGCCCTAAAAAAAAACAAAGGAAAATAAAAACGTACAAGAATTGCAAGGTGGGCAGGCTGAGAATTTCCAGCACCTGGTTGCCCTCCAACTGGTTGGATGAGAGATCCCTGTTGACTCATGCCGACCCCGCCCCACATGCGCAGCAAGAATGCACGCACCCACGCACACATGCAGATGCAAGCGTGCATGCGCACGCCTCCCCTCCCAACCCAACCCCACAAACACGCACGAACGAGCACACATGTGTTGGGGAAGGTGCATCAAGCAGGCACGCAAGAGAAGTGAATCGCCTGGATTGGTTGGAACTTGGAGGCACGGCCTTGACACATGCGCGCCCACACACACACACATGCGCGAGCGCTCACACACACACACACACACAAACACACACACACACACATGCGCGAGCGCTCACACACACACACACACAAACACACACACACACACACACACACACAAACACACACACACACACACAAACACACACACACACACACAAACACACACACACACACACAAACACGCACACACAAACACACACACACACACACACAAACACACACACACACACACACACAAACACACACACACACACAAACACACACACACACACACAAACACACACACACACACAAACACACACACACACACACAAACACACACACACACACACACAAACACACACACACACACAAACACACACACACACACACACACAAACACACACACACACACAAACACACACACACACACACAAACACACACACACACACAAACACACACACACACAAACACACACACACACACACAAACACACACACACACACACACAAACACACACACACACACAAACACACACACACACACAAACACACACACACACACACAAACACACACACACAAACACACACACACACACACAAACACACACACACACACAAACACGCACACACAAACACACACACACACAAACACACACACACACACACACAAACACACACACACACACACACAAACACACACACACACACATATCACGCAGGCACAGTGGGCACGGTGGACACGGTGATGCAGGGAGGGATAATGGCAGCACACGCGGAGGCTCATGGAAAAAAGCTGGCAGGCAGGCTGAGATGTGGAGGCCTGGTGATGGCTTTTGAGACGTCTCAAAAAGCTGAGATGTGGGGGCCTGGTGATGGCTTTTGAGACCTCCAGGGAGGTAAATGAATGGGGATGCATCTGTATTGGTGGGAAGCATGGCCAGTTGCAAATGTGCATTCACTTGAATTGAAGCCATGCCTGAGTGCATCGACAAAGGCGACAAGTCCCTTCATGCATGCTGGAGCGGACAAAAGCGTGCGCCTATGGAAAGGGATGATGCAGAGGAGTGGGGAGGACTAACAGAGATGTGAGGCCGGCTTTTGAGGCGCCTAAAAAATCGCGTAAGGTTAGGGATGATGCAGCGGAGTGGAGTGGAGTGGAGTGGAGTGGAGTGGAGTGGAGTGGAGTGGACTGACAGAGATGTGAGGCCGGTGAGTTCACTCAGGTGAAGAAGGCCGTTGGCTTGGACCTGGTTGGAGCTCAGATTCCTGCCATGCGGTGCCGCAGGGGTGCGCATGATGCTTGAAACGCTTGCACAGATGAGCGATGACAGTGATGCTGGCCATGCAAGTTGTGACGGTGTACAAACGAGTTTTGAAATGACTCGAAAATCAAGTTTTGAGACGTCTATCGAGTTTTGAGACGTCTGGGAATGCTTCCTCATATACCACGGGTTGGGCACAAGCACACAAGCACACAAGCACACAAGCACACAAGCACAAAAGCACACAAGCACACAAGCACACACACAAGCACACAAGCACACACACAAGCACACAATGGTAAAGCAGCCCAGCGCACACACAACACAGGTGAATGACGGCGTACAGTTTCTCGAGGCTCGGAAAGCGGTACGGAAAATACCCTATTTGCGGAATGATGTTTGATGGCACGTCTCTGCACAGGGGGGGAGGAGTGCGGCACACGCGGAAGCTTGCAGTGAGTGATGATGCTGATGCTGGGGTGCAGAGAATCAGTGTGCGAAGGCACGAAAGGGAGCAGGAAAGGGAGAGGAGTGCGGGGGAGGTAGCAGTCACGGGGAGAACCGGAAGGAGGAAGCGAAGAGGAGCACGCACATTGGTGGAGGTGCATGCAGCGGGTTACAGCGACTGATGCTGTGGGATTTGGCATTTGGCTTATGGAACAGGTGCGGGAACGGGTGTGGGGAAGAGGGTGTGGGGAAGAGGGTGTGAAACTCACAGCTCCAACAGACCGGGGATGAACATATTCAGCTGATTCTCCAATCCACAATTGCATATCCTCCTGGGGGACAAACAACATGACATACACACAAGGGCCGATTCCCATCGCTCACAAGCACCGCACATAAAGCAATGCCATGCCAAGCAATGTGGTGCCATGTCGTGCCATGGTAACCCTGTTTTGTTATCTCAATTGTGGGTGTGGCTCTCATTCGCAATAAGACACACACACACACAAAAGCACGTGCTTACAGCCTAGTGAGCTGGGAGAGGTTGTCCAATCCTCCGGGAATGGGGGCACTCTCGCCCATCACGCAATCCACTGCCCTGCAAAAGACAAATGCACCAGTCCAATGCATCAGCGGATCGACCTTCATTTGTCTCGCAGGCATGTCTCAACTCAAGAACTCTCACCATACACTGACACGCTGGATGGATCTGTTTTTGAGGCGCCTCAAAAACAAGACCTATCACCATACACTGAACTGAGATGCTGGATGGATGGATGGATGCACCTTGTTGACGAGAGTTGCCTCAGCATCGCTAACGAAACAACCGGTCTTCCTCCCCCAACCATCCCGTCCCATCCCATCCCATCCCATCCCGTCCCATCCCATCCCGTCCCATCCCATGAGAGAGCAGCAACATGCAAACAGCGCTCAAGAAGCAAGGAGTGAGCAGGGAGCAAGGAGCAAGAATCAAGGAGCAAGAATCAAGGAGCAAGAATCAAGGAGCAAGAATCAAGGAGCAAGAATCAAGGAGCAACGCAGAGACTCGATCTGTAAAATTCAAACTCCCACAGGCGGTGGGTCTGTCGCACCTCTAAGTGGGTGGGGACTCACAGGGACTTGAGCCAGGTAATGTTGTAGAGGGATCCCTTTGGAAAGTCAAACACATTTGGAAACTCTCTGTGTGTGTCACATGCGGGGAACAAGGAAAGAAGGAAGGATGGTGATGGTAATGGTAATGGTAATGGTAATGGTGATGGTGATGGTAATGGTAATGGTGATGGTGATGGTGATGGTGATGGTGATGTTGATGGTGATGGTGATGGTGATGGTGATGGTGATAGTAATGGTAATGGTAATGGTAATGGTAATGGTGATGGTGATGGTAATGGTAATGGTGATGGTAATGGTAATGGTGATGGTAATGGTAATGGTGATGCTATGCTGATGGTGATTTATACAATTCAGGGATAAGAGACAGATGAGCAATAGGGCGAAGGGAGGAGCAAGCACAATCTAAATCCATGCGAACAAACTACCCTTAACTATACTAGACTGGACTACACCGGGTATTGTTGAAACGAGAAAACACAACGCTCAGAATCTGCGTAGCATGGCAACCCCTTCACATGCACGCACACACGCACACACAAAATCACGTACGCACGCGCACGCACACAGGCATCCTGCCAATGATTTCCGTTCAACACGTTACGTTGGACTGCCTAAAATTCTCATGAGAGGGCAGCGCAAGGGCGTACAGCTGGGTGAGGTGCGATAGCTGGGTGACGGAGGCGGGTTGGAAGTCCACCCCTAAAGACAAGTCGATGCGCCTGCACACAGGAGGAATGGGCGGTTGGGTCGAGGGAAGGGGGATGGGTTGGGTTGGAGGCCGTTTGAACGAGGAGAAGTGGGATTCCTTGGTGATAGTGCGCGCGTGTGTGCGGGTGGGCTGGGAGCTTGTGCTCTGCAGAATGGTGCCTAGCCAGCCCAGGCTCATGCATGCATGGGCGTCTGGGCATGGCTGCAAAGCGAAATAGGGGGCCTGAAGGAATGAAGTCAAGGCAAGGCAAGGGAGAAACGAGTCCTTGCGATTACAAGCGGGAATCGCAGGGCGTGAGTGAGGGCAAAAGAGCGGCAGTGAGTGAGGGCAACAGAGCGGCAGTGAGTGAGGGCAACAGAGCGGCAGTGAGTGAGGGCAACAGAGCGGCTGTGAGTGAGGGCAACAGAGCGGCAGTGAGTGAGGGCAACAGAGCGGCTGTGAGTGAGGGCAACAGAGCGGCAGAGAGTGAGGGCAACAGAGCGGCTGTGAGTGAATGAACCTGGCTTGAATCGGGCCTGGGAAACATGCAAGCTGAGTTCGATTTGAGCCAACATGTGGTGGAGGGGAGAGCTGGGAGGTTAGTAATGATCGCAGCTAGCAATGTGTATGGCACGGTGTGGCGAGGTGCAGTGCTGTGCAGTGCAGTGCAGGGCACAGCACAGCAGGGAGGGCCAGAGGTCAGGGAGCGGACGCACATGGAGGTGATCATGCCGTATGAGTCGCATGTGAGGGCAGCACCGTGCCTGCCGAGGTGGGCGTGGGGAAGGAGGACGAAGGAGGCGTACGACTTGTCCCCAAGAAGCAAGCACGGCGTGGAAGAAAGGATCATCTTAGGATCATCTTAGGATCATCTTAGGATCATCTTCGGCTAATCTTAAGCAATGATGCCCATCGTGACGCAACACCTCAAACAGGCGCCTGGCCGGCCAGCCAGCTGGCTTGCTGACGGACTGGCTGGCTGGCTTGCTGTCGCCACGAGCGTCACCATGATCCCACCGTGCAAGCCAGCAGAGGGGGTTCAAGTCTCATGATTGGAGCTGTCTGGTTGCGCACAGGCGGGGAATGAGGACCACGACCAGCGCACCTTGCGACCAGCGCACCTTGCGACCAGCGCACCTTGCGACCAGCGCACCTTGCGACCAGCGCACCTTGCGACCAGCGCACCTTGCGACCAGCGCACCTTGCGACCAGCGCACCTTGCGACCAGCGCACCTTACGACCAGCGCACCTTGCGACCAGCGCAGCTTGCGACCAGCGCAGCTTGCGGCCAGCGCACCTTGCGAGTCCGCGATGGGCACTGCGAGTGACATGCACGGCAGGCAGGAGCATGCGAGGGCCGCAAGGAGCGCCACGAGACCATGACGAGAGCCTGGATGCACCGTCATAGCTGGCAGCAAACGGCGGAGTTGCAAGCGTGTCGAGCTGCTGGGGGCTTGATAGAATTCTTGAAGGCGAATTCCTGCGCAAGTGGGGCTCTTTTGCGGCGTGCTCGCTCACGGAGACAGGACGGAGCAGGGAGGATCACAGAGCAGAGCAGCGCAAGATTGCTCGTTGCGAGAATGAAAAATACGGCATGAACAAAGTCAGCGTATGGTGTCTATAACAAAATGGCATTCCAATCTCGTCCACTCCAGCAGAAGCTGTCTGGAACCAGCAGAAGCTGTCTGGAACCAGCAGAAGCTCCCTCTCTCTGGTCCGGAACCGTGAAGCCGTCTGATGTACGTGCGGCTTCAAAATGATAATTGTGGGTCGTTTGCTGCGTGTCGCGTACGCCACGAGGATTTGGTTGTGAGGGGCGCGACTCTTATCAGCTGGATTCGAGGCTTGTTATAAGTTGACAAAGAAGCGAGTGCTCGGAATTTAATAGTGAAGACGTGATTACAACTACCAACTGAATGATGAAGCCTTACACAATTACGGTATAGAGAAAGGCTAGCTAGGCGGGGTAACTTGGGATCGCCAAGGTTTGTATGCGCCAAAATTGGAAGAACTATACTAACATCCTGTATAAATGTGTAATCAGTACACAAAACAACACTAGGTTCTAGTGCACAGAAATGTCAACTACTTTTGAATGTAGCCCTCCACAATGACATCCTCACCGCACACATGCGCATGCAGACCATGCAGTGGAAACATCTCTCCCACGTCACCCTCAAGCCAGCCGCCAGTGCTGCTTACTGCTCCCCTAGGCGCGCTACCACCCAGCACAGGTGAGAGCGCAACCACCACCTTCTCCACTGCGTCATCCTCCATCAACCAGCTCCCCAGCGACCAGCCCTCGCCGTCACTGGACGAGCTGTCGCTGCTACTCTCGCTGCTGCTGCTGCTGCTGCTGCTGCTGCTAGCAGCAGCCACGCCTTGCACCACGGGGTGCCAATCCCAGAGCACGGAGTTGCAATCGCGCTCCAGACACAGCTCCATGACGTCAGATGGAGAGAACCCATCCGGCAGCACCACCAGATCCACTCCGCACTCCCCCAGCCACTGCTCCGCCGCCGCCCTGCCTGTTGCCGACGCCGCACTGACGTCCACCACCACAGCAGACTCGTTCGTGACCACGAGCGTGGGCGCCAGCGAGGTGTCGAAAATGGGCGCGGAGCGAGGGAGGTGTGCGAGGGAGCGAGCAACGACCACGCGCAGAGGCTGCTGGCATTCGGGTTCCGAGGACAGGAGGGACGCTGGGCTGGCAGAGGAGTCAGGAGAAGCAGCGTCGCCGTCAGAATGAGCAGCAACAGCAGCGAGGAGGTCGGTGTCTGTGATGACAGCCGCGTCGTACTCCGCCAAGAGCTGGCTGCGGTAGCTGCCCGCACCACAGCCTGACGTGCCGATTGATGGGAGGAGCGAGCCAGAGAGCGAGAGGGAGTAGCTGCGCAGCAAGGAGGATGGGAGGGTTTAGAATCGGGGTGGGGGAAACGCAAACAAGTGGGGGGGTTAAGGTAGGGGTGGGGAAAGGGTGTGAAAGACGGGGGGGACAAGATGGAAGGGCATGTTGAGAAGGACAAGCACAAGTGAAAGACATAAGTCATATCTATCTAATATCACCAATAAGATCAGAGGTCGAGTCGAGCTACACACGCCAATAGCTACACATGCCAGATTCTTGACCTCCGAAATCACCTCCCGCACAACCTCTCAATCTCTAGCCCAGCCATCCACCTGGTCTGGTCTGGTCCAGTGATGGCGCACGGCACGGCACGGCACGGCACGGCACGGCACGGCACGGCAGGGCACGGCAGGGCACGGCAGGGCACGCACCGGAGAATGGAGTAGGGGCGCTGGTTGGCGATGCGGAACATGAACGCCTCCACGTTGCGCCGGCACGCCGCCTCCTCCACGCCCACCACCACCTCCACGCCCGACCGCCGCAGCGTCTGCACGCCCTCCCCGCCCACGAGCGGGTTCGGGTCCACGGTCCCCACCACCACGCGCCGCACGCGCGCCTTCACCAGCGCCTGGCTGCACGGCGGCGTGCGCCCGTGGTGGTTGCACGGCTCCAGCGTCACGTACGCCGTCGCGCCCGCTGCTGCCTTGCCCGCTGCTCTCAACGCGAACACCTGGTGACGGGTGAGGGAAAGGGGGATGGCATGAGGGGGGAACGGTGCGAGGGAGGACTGAAGACATGCCATTACATTTCACAATAGCCCTGCCAGCCACCTGCCATGTCATGCCATTCCTCGCACAGGACATGTGCCATGTGCCATGTGCCATGTACCATGTACCATGCTCGCAGGTCACTTGAATCCATGCTTCGCGCTGCACAGCTGCCGTCGCTGCTTACCTCCGCGTGCGGCTCGCCAGCCTTGGGATGCCAGCCTTCTCCGATAATGTCACCGTCCTTCACAATCACGCACCCCACCATCGGGTTCGGCGACGTACGACCCAGCGCCTGCCTCGACAGCTCGAGCGCGCGCCGCATAAAAGCCGCGTCCTCAGGCCTTTCACCGTCCGCCATAGCCCGCATTCCGCGGACCCTCTGGCCCCCCTCCATCTCGTGAAGCTCCCCTAACACCAGGTCTCCGCCCCTCTGCGCGCTCCTGCCGCGCTTCTGAATTTGCGACGCTTTGTTGACCAAACTGCCCTTTTCTCGCAACCATAGCTTTTTCTCCAGAAACACAGGCGAAAGGTTGAGGGATGAGAGAGGCAATGGCCGGAACGCAACAGTTCGGCCGGGAAGGCTTTGCACGCAGGCATTGGCGCAAGTGCCGGCGGAGAAGATGGCAACAGCAGCCATTTCGGCAAACATTGAATGTGCTAAATGGCTGAGAATTGCACGTCCTTCTCAGTACATCGCAACTGCTATTCTGAGAGTGAAGACATGAAACCTGTTATAAGCTGAACTGAAGAATGAACACAACCTGTTATAAGCTGAACTGAAGAATGAACACAAACAAATGTTGCAACATAGGAAAAGGGCGTGTAACCATTCTAAAAAACGATAAAGTATGTACCGTGTGTGATGCCGTACGTTCGTTTACAAACTTTTGCGAAGTTGCATGGGTGTAATGCGACGCACTGCTTCCAGCGAAAGAGAAAAAATGACGCCTTCCGGCGACACCTGCTACCGCATAGAAGTGCGTCTTGCCCATCGTACACACCATGGAAATGCAAATTGTTTACACACCCTTGGAGTATGAAAAGATAGTAGAAGTGGAAAGAAGTGGGAAGCAGAGGAGAGGAGGAGAAGAAAGAGCACGGAAGAAAAGAAATACCATGAGAAATAAAAGAAGAAAATGGGGATATGTGCGACCATAGAGGGGGGACGATACAAGATTTAACAAAGCGTACATCCCCACACACAGCACATTTGCAACCGATCTAGCACAAGCTTTACTTTTAGTCACTGTTTTTACAAAACTGCACCATGCTTGTATTTCATATCAGACATGCTCTCCAAACACCATGTTATATGGTACCAACCAGGGCCTCAGATTCGTTTGGGGGTACACTGAGGCCTCAGGGCAGTTTCTAGGAAATCAGAATTTGCCCTGAATTGTCAGGGCTGCACAAGGTGAGGTATCCTGAAATGCCAGTGCTACTTTTGACAGTAACCTGTAAATCCAGTGCTACATTTCGTAGCGGCTCAAGTGTGGTAGAGGATAAGGTCTCCTGTTCGATTCCCGTTGGCGCCTATGCTCAGTGCTCGCCCGTAAGTAATTTAGGCCCCGAAACCCAGGAGATTTTTCGTACAGTACATCTCGCTTCAGAGCGAGATTCGACACTATCCTGACTTATCAGGGCTGAACCTACAGCCTTATCCTGAGTTTTCAGTACGCAAAATAACCACTATACTGAAATTACAGGACAATTATTCCTGTTCTGCTGTTTTTCCAGGACTAGCACACGACACCTATCCTGAATTCAGGAGAATCAGGATAAATTATCCTGATAACTGAGGCCCTGGTACCAACTCACATGTCTCGCTCCATACTCGTGTGTGCTTGGACAGGGTTCTATTTCGGTGTCTTAAGTACGGTCATCTGCTGCTTCTTACCTAGGTGTGTCTATTGTCGGCGCGTCCCTCTACTTAGCTCTAAACTCCGGCAAGTCCTAGTAGTTTGTCGACGACCACACCACCCTCTCGTCACTTCCAGCTCCCGTCGCAGTCTCCTTCACTGACCCCTCCTCCGGCCAGGCACTCGCACGAAGCGCTACTATACTCCCATCCCCGGCAATCCCCTCTAACTCCATCACATGTCTGCACATGCCCTCGTTTTCTACGAATTTGTTAGGTGTCGGTCGTCTTCCGTACCTCCGCGTAAACATCACTTTTCTTCAGGACACGAGTGGTTTGAGATTTTTATAGACACTACCACTGGGGCAATTCTTGCCACCTTCCCTAGGGACCCATCATCAGATCTTTACAGACTGCATCCACCCAGGTTCCTACGACTGGTCAGGTAGCTGCGTCATGCTCGTGTTGGTCCCTCACTCACCCATCGCTCGTATGGCACCACAGTCTGGGTCACCTTGCCCTCCCGCGTCTCCATCACTTGGCTCAGCAGGGTCTTGTCTCTGGTCTCACATCGGCGCTCCCTGCTTTCCTTCCCTCGTCTGCGTCGCTGTGCAGTATTGCGTCGAGGGCAGGCAACGCGCCGCCCTTCACCCTTCCTCGTTTCCTCCCACCACTTCGCCTCTTTAGACCTTGCACATGGATGTATGGGACCCTGCCCCCGTCCCTGGTCGTTGTGGTCGAGTATTCCCGCTACACCATGGTGTTTCCCTTGGAGCGAAAGGTCGACAGCCTGACGTTCTCCCCCCGTGGCTAGTAGCCATCCGCGCACAGCCTATACTTGCCTGCACTCCGACCGTGGTGGCGAGTTTGTCACCGGTCGCTTTGGTTAGTTCTGTCGTTTGGAGGGTATCACCTATTCGTGCTCACTCCTAGACTCGCCGCAACATAATGGGGTAGTTAAGCGTCGCATTAGCTTGGGCATAAAGATCCGTTGTACCTCCATGATTCATGGTAATGCCCCATATTTCTATAACCATTTGCAATTTGCTACGTGGCTCACCATCTTAACTTGTGGCCCCGTATCTCACGGTCATAGGTTTTGCCGACCCTCCTCTAAACTAAGTCCCTTTGTGCCGCTTCCGCATTTCACGTCTGAGGCTGCCTTGCTCACATCCGCAACCCTCATGCGGACAAGCTTACAACCTGTACTCTCCCGTGTCTCTTCTTTGGTTTCCCTCTCAATGCTCTAGGCTGCTTATTCGACCACCCTTTCCCGTACAGTTTCCTCCGCTCTCGTGACGTCAACTATGACAAAAAAGCATGCTTCTACACTTGCTTCCCTCACCGAGGTGCCCCAGTTCCCCCTTCCCCACTTTGTAACTCCTGCTCGCATTCATGCCCCGACTTCTCCGCTCGCTCCCCTGCCCCCTTGCAACAGTGCGGCAACCCACTATTACTGTTGGGCAGCCACACAGTGCCAACCCACCGGCTAGTGGGAGGCTGCAAACTCCCAAACCACGCAAGGTTGAGACTGTTCAGCCTCCCCTCCCAGCATTTGGGCACCCACCTGAAGACACGTAGCCTAAACCACACCCTCGCGCGAAAACAACGAAACGCAGAAAAATCAAGCTCCGACCCCTCGCCGACTTCGCCAACGGTGCCGACGAAATTACAGCCCCTTAATACAATTTGCCATCCAATCCCGCATCGCAATCAATCTCTGAATTTCAAGGCGAGGTTCATTTCCAAGGGTTGGGTTACCAAATAAGAAATTCAGAGTATCACGACTTGGTAGTACTGTGAGGATCTAGGATCGAGCTCAGAAAAGAGAATGTGAATTTAATGATCACCTGGGTACAACACGAGGCTATATATAGGCTCGACACAAGGCCCCGTAACGAGGTGTTACGCGAAGGTTCCGCGGGTCGCGAAGCGTCCCGAACAGATCCTTCCCGAATTCGGTAGAAGGCAATTCGGTGGTAACCGAAAAGCCAGAATTCGGTGCACGCAACCTAGCTCGGTGCTATAACTATAATAAAATATAGGAAAGCACCTAGCCTAGGAAATCAAGCAATTCATGCATGCATATAATTTTCCTATGCTAGAAATAGCATAATAAAGAAAAGGCAAGCAAGCATAGCTGGCATAAGCCGTCGTACTCTCACACGTCCCCCCCTCAAAGCTGGGTGGCGTGAGATACACCCTGCTTGACAAGATAGTCCTTGAGAGCACGGCGTGCGTTGCCCATATCAGCTTCTGCAACCCAACTGTCCTCAGTGGGGTCGTATCCCTTCCAGCGTATCAGGAACTCGAGGGTCCTGCCGCCGCGGCGCCGATGAGAGAGGACGCGCTCAATCTCGTACTCGGTTTCGTCCTGCACAAGAACAGGTGGAGGTGGCAGTAGCTGCCGTCCCTGGAACTGTTGGTTGGGGTCCTTGTACGGTTTCAGTAGCTGCACATGGAAAGCATTGTGAAGCTTCCACGTATCTGGTAAGCGCAAGCGGAATGTAACTGGTGTCACCTGTGCCTCAACGAGAAAAGGACCACAGAAGCGAGGCCGGAGCTTGGATGGTAGGTGAGACATGTTCAAGTTGTGTGTGTCAAGAAGCACCTGATCTCCGACTGCTACTGAGTGATCACGTCGCTGACGATCGGCATACTGCTTCTGGGAGGTCTGCATCGTGGTGAGTCGTCGCCGAGTCTTCTCCCATAGCTGCTGCATGGTGGTGACGAAGTCATGTGCGGCTTGGACGTGTGCCGGTGTGGTAGGCTGCTGTGGTGTGAGTGGTTCCCGTCCGTAACACAGGAAGAAAGGAGTTTTCCCTGTGGCCGCATGTGACGCGTTGTTGTAAGCGAACTCTAGGGTCGGTAACTGTGTGTCCCAGTGGCTGACGTCGTCCTTGCAAGCTGTGCGCAGTAACTGTTCAACCACTTGATTGAGTCGCTCTGTCTGTCCGTCAGTCTGTGGGTGGTATGCTGAGGACATCGCAAGTTTAGTCCCCAATAATCCCATGAGCTCCTTCCAAAACTTACTGGTGAATTTTGGGTCTCTGTCTGAGATGAGTGTAGCGGGGATGCCGTGGATGGTGATGATGCGGTCGAAGAAGAGGCGAGCAGTTGCTTCTGCTGTGGCGGTGGCGTTGGTCGGTAGGAAGTGCCCCATTTTGGAGAACTTATCGATGACTACGAGGATGGAATCATGTCCCCGTGAGGTCGAGGGAAGTCCTGTGATGAAGTCGAGACTAACGACCTGCCATGGCTGCTCCGGTACGGGTAGAGGCTGAAGTAACCCTGCTTTCTTCTGCTTGCTGCTCTTCATCCGCTGGCACGTGTCGCAGGAGGTGACGAACTGCTGCACATCTGCTGCCATCCGGGGCCAGTAGTAATACTTCGCTATTCCCGCTAACGTCTTGTTGCTCCCGAAATGTCCCGCGTATGGTACGTCGTGGAACTCCTCCAATAGGATCTGCCGTAGCGGGGCGTAATTCGGTACCCAAATCTTTCCTGAACCCTTCCTTACCGCTAGGTCTTTCTCC